GGTGTTGCTGGACTATCGCCTGTCAGTCGTGCGGGCTCTGGCAATCTCTTCGGTGCCGTGCGGGGTGAGTAGCATTTTGGCTGTGAGGTGCTCCGGTGCAGCACCCCTCACTGCTCTGTACCCCACAACTTTGTTTTTTAGTTATTTTGATTGTTGGCTGTTCCCCTGGATAGCAACGGGCCTCTGCTTTACCAAGTAATTTTTACAGCCCATAATTTTCCTGTGAAATATACATATATGTGAGCCTGTATATGCATTTAACTCTGTACACGTAGCATTTTAAAGAACTGATGCCATGTTAGCACCAGGCAGGGCAGCAGAAGTGACCGTTCATACCATGCATGCAGTATGGTTACCTAATGCAAAGAGGGAATAAGAACTGCAGCCTGTTGCAGGCATTCATCAACTGGATGTTCGGGACCTGGGGGCAGCTTTATGCTACAACTGAGATCGAGAGGCAGCAGCAGTTCTAGGACTGCTTAGTAAGAGAGGCCATAGTCGTGAATGTAGCTCACCCCAGCCTTTTGGTGCAGAGACTCTAGGATGAGAGCTGCAGAGCGGAAAAGCAGACAAGTGATGCCTGCTAATGCAGTCTGCAGTCAGCCAGTGGGCCAGTAACTTCAGAAAACAGGCAGTCCTCATAAAGGTGTGCAAAGCCATTCCACAATTTATGGCCATTCCAAAGCCATAAATCGTAGGATCATAGAAGGATCTAGGTTTGAAAGGACTCATGAAGTTCTTTAATCCATTCTCCTTACCATTCCAGCGCATCCTGCTGTGAAGGATTTTCATTGAGAAGCATGCCAAAAACAACACAGATGGATTGAAAATGATGAGTTTCTCAAATTCTGAGGGAGTGTCAGGCAGGGTGTGTATCCAGATTCTGGCTGTGCTGACCTTGCCTCTGAATACAGAGTTAGAAAAGGTTATTTTTCTGAGTTAAAAAGTTAAGCAGCCTGTGTTGAATCACTGGGGGTATTTCCCTGGCATGAGCATTATGCTTCTGGAGTAAAGGAGTTTACTGGAAGTAGGGACATCTTTCTCCAGCCATGATACTTGTATTGACATTGTTGGAAAGCACATGAAGATTGTGGGGATGTATCCTGCCTGTGCTGCCTTGCTTTATGAATCTATACACAGGATAGAAGTAAGGGAGCCTTAGCTGTTGCAGAATGTGTGTTGAACATCTTTTTTTGCTTTAAAAGATGCTGGCAATGCTTTATGTCTAACGTGGGTTTCTTGAGTCATCTATTTGGATTGTTATTACTGCCTGTTGTGTACTTTTAAAATAATGGTCAGGCTTTTTGCAGAATCTATGTAAGTATATCTGAAGTTACAGTAGCACAACACACAGCTGTCTAGCAGCCAAAAGTTTTAAAGAGGTTTCTGCTGTTATGCCTTGAAGTGTGGGTTAGAGTTGAGATTTTTTGGTGTGTTTCTTCCCCTTCTTTGCATGTTTAGACTGATAATTAATAATGCAGCATAAGCCTCTCTTTTGAGATAAGAATATCTTAGTTACAGTGAAAACATAGCTTATTAGAATGACTGTATTCTCAGGAAGCTACATGCTAATGCCAGACTCTTCATAGCAACAACAACTTAAAAACCTTTAAAATCCAAAGATTTCTGTGGATATCTGCTGTACTGTGTGCAGACTGACAGCCTATCTGGAGAAGACATAATTGCATTAATTGATTCTCATGAGCCTCTACTTCAAGCAGCAAAAAGGCAGAAACTGGAGAGGTTCGGCCACATGACTTGAGTACAAACACATTTTTGCAGGGAATGGTCAAATGGAAGTGAAAGAGAGAACTTCCTGGTACTGCCTGGTACATAAATCGTAGGATCATAGAAGGATCTAGGTTTGAAAGGACTCATGAAGTTCTTTAATCCATTCTCCTTACCAAAGCAGGCCTAACTTCAAATTTAGATTAAGTTGCTCAGTTCCTTGTCCAGCCAACTTCTTTTTCTCCAGGCATGTCTGCTGAACTGTTTTCAGGGGCAAGAAGTTTTTTTCCTTTTGTCCAGCCAGAATTTCCTGTGTTGCCACTTGTGCACATTGCCTCGTGTCCCAGCTGCTTATAGAGTATTTCATCTGCCTCTTCATCCTGGATGGGTGGTCTGTAACAGACTCCCACCATGACATCTGCCTTGTTGGCCTTCCCCCTCATTCTTACCCATAAACACTCAACCCTTTCGTCACCATCATCAAGCTCTAGACAGTTAAAACACTCCCTAACATACAGGGCTACCCCACTGCCTCTCTTTCCTTGCCTATCCCTTCTGAAGAGTTTATAGCCATCCATTGCAGCACTCCAGTTGTGTGAGTCATCCCACCGTGTTTCCGTGACGGCAACTGTATCATATTTTCCTGCTGCACTGTGTCCCCCCGCTTCTCCTGTTTGTTGC